CATGGCCGACAGGCTGATTGTTTACGTGTCGGAGAACAGAGTGATTTTTGATAAAAGACACAAATATTACAAAGATAACGACCTGAAGGAAAACTTATGGACAGTCATAGCGTCGGATTTCTCATATGACGATAGTTTGTGTGCTTTAACAGTTTGCTAAATGTCTTTATTTTAACTTTCATCTGTGCTAAGTAACTTTAGCTCGTAAGCTAACCTGTTCAGATACAACATACCATATGTATTTTCACTGTCTCAAACTCAATCGTGTTGCTGTCACAGCACCATTAGGTCTCGGTTGTTACCTTACGTTTATGGTTTATAGTTTAATGTGCTTATCTGGTACTGGCCCCAACTCAGTACATGCTATCATGACAGACAGACATCTCAACACTAGTGTCTAATCAGAACTGAAAAACACTCAGTCTGGTGTTGTGTCAGTCTTCTCGCTTCCACCCGCGACCAGAGCCGGATTAACCATGAGGCATAGTGAGGCTGAAGCCTCAGGGCGTTTGGCTATGGGGGGCCACTCAGCCCGAGCAGAAGCCGCTATGACGCTGGTGAGCTGCGCCTGGTGTGAGGAGGATTAGGCTGTATTGGGACAGAGGAAAAAGTGCCTAGAAAGTGAATCTCGTTCCGCTTCAGTGGGGCAACATAAACTGTGATTCATAAAACAGCTATATTGATAGTGAGTACTAAAAAAAATTTCTACTCATGCCATCCCGTCGATTTTTAGTAATCAGTGTTTCGGTGTCGAACTATTTCCTTTCTGCGGCGCAGTGATACTTGCACACGCGCAATCGAATATGCAAAGAGGTGAAGCGATTTTTGTCACGTGGACCAATAGGAGCCGAGTCTCGTTGCCATAGTATCAGAAATACACAAACATGGCGACGAGCGCATCTAGCAGCGAGACAAGCGAAGAGGAAGAAATTAAAAGGAAAAAAAGAAAACAGCCTTCAAAAGTGCATCAAAAAGGAACGAAAACGATGCTATATGCATCTATCATCTGTCCAGAGTGAAGACGTTCTCCACTTTACAAGGCCACGTTGGGAAACTTACAGAACTAGTATTAGAAAGTGGCTTTCTCTACAGGGTGAGACAAAAGACCAGCCAGAAATGTACTTGTGAGTAACACAAAAAACGATTATATGGTGCTGCTGTTTTTGCTTGTAGAAACTGCTATGTTGATTCTGACAAGACAAAATCTTTCTCAGATGTCATAAATACATCTACCTAACATCTGAAACAGTTATTGGTGCCTTAGTATACGCATAAGTGAATTCAGATTATGAAATGTAGCAAATTTCTTGAAGAAAACATCTCAACTCAAGTGATTTGCACCCAGCACAATGAAATATATACAGTAAATTTAGCTAAAAGCTTATGTTTCATACATAAAAATGACACAACCTACTGTGTAATAAAAGCAATGAAATATAAACAGCACATCATGGCCATAAATGGCTGAAAGTCAGTCAAATTGCTACCACGCTCCCCAAAATTGGAATAATGGAAAAATGTAACAAGACAAAAGTAAATGCACAAAAGGTCTGAATTAATTCAAAATATGGTATAAAACATTTATTCAAGTATCACAGTGTCAAAACCTCTGACATTTAGCAGTCCCTACAGAATATGAAAAGAAAGATCAAAACACAAATGCAGACAAATGTAGAACAAATATAAAATAGTAAAATTCTCAAATCTCAGTGTAGCAATCCTTTAAACAAAACAAATTGTATAACCATAACAGGCCTTCATATCATGCCTTGCACTTTTATTTATATTGCTTGCTATATACTTATAATTTAAAATGCCTGAGGTTTTCTACAGTAAAAAAGTGAACTGTACACCAGCCTCTGTGCTTTCCTTGAAGACTTTTTTCACTACCTCTTGTTGAATTGAGTTCAGACACAGTTGTATTAACCCAGTGGTTTGGCTAGAGGTGGTGGCTAGTGGAACCGTTAAATAACCACCCATAACTGCAGTAATTTCCACAAAATGACCAATAAAAACTGCCAATTTTTTCCGCGCACGGGACAGAGGGGGGCCATTAGGTTTGCTTAGCCTCAGGGGCCACAGAAGGTTTAATCCGGGCCTGCCCGCGACGCGCCTTTTTTCCCGCCAGAGAGTCACAAAATCGCATCACGCTTGACCTTCAGACTGTAATGCAATCCTGAACCAAGTGTGCATTTTCTTTATGAACTTTGTGCCAACTTTTATTTTTCTTGCTTTCCCTTCATGTTTAAATTAAATATTTTTGCAACAAATTGTGCAGTTTAGTTTAAAAACCATCATAACAAGAACACAAATTCTCATTTAAGGTGTCTTTTTTCTGACGCAGAACAATGTATTTAGTCATTTCAGGTTGTCACACAATCTTCTTTTTTTATTATTTCCATAAATTCAAAACTGGGTTTTGTATTTGTACTTTAAATGTTGTAGTGAAGATTGAAAGCCGCTCTGTCTCTTCGATTTTTCTTTCTTTTTTAAGATTGCATTGAGAGTATTTTTGTCAGGCTGCCAGGCAAAGAAAACAACAGATTCTACGAAAGTCCTTGTAAACTTCTCACACAACAGCTTTCTTCCATTTTGGCAGGTCTCTCTGTGAGCAGTGTTTTGGCAGGTCTCCCTTGTGTTTGTGTTTGTGTATGTGTGTGTGTGAGTGTGTGTGTGTGTGTGAGTGTGTGTGTGTGTGTTAGAGAGAGAGAGAGAGAGAAAGATAGCTATTTGCTGGGTTTCAGGAAGGCTCACTTTGCCAGTGGGCCTGAAACAATAGAGCGCGTTTTTCTTTTGCTTATTGCTGCTCGGTGTGGGCCTTCGCACTGAAAGAGCGAGGGAAGAGGGAAACTCCAGACTTGTCACCTCCTGCTTCTCCTCCTCCTCCTCCTCCTCCTCTTCCTCTTCCTCCTCCCCTTTCTCCTTTTCTTCCCCTTCTTCTTCTTCTACTACTTCTTCTTCTACCTCTTCATCTAAAGTTCAACCTCCTCCTCCCTCTCTACCCCTCCTCCCTCTGATGACTCAGAGAAATGTGCTTGGCTCCTGCTGCCAAAGCTCAAGCTGAGGTCTGACGAAAACAGAGTGAAACTGACAGAAGATTCCTTTATTAGAACTCGACTGGACGAAGGCCTCGTTCTGTTTCAGAAATAAAAGTGAAAAACTCGTGGAAGGTTAACAAACTCAGTTGATGGATGTAGTCAACTATACGTGTCCATGTTTCCCTGTGTCGAGCTGGAGCTGGTTGAAGTTGCAGCGATCGTAATAGCATTGTTTTTTTTTTTTTTTTAACTCATTTAAAAAACTGCTGATAAGATTTAAACAGAATTAATGCTGTCTGTTTTCAATCAAACACTTCAATCTAATGTGTTTCTGATACGCTGAGTGACGACTTTTTTCATCTTTTTCGTCATTGGAGTTGGCCGACAAAAACAATGAGATTATTGTTTTTGTCAGTCAACAAAGGTTATTTAACAGTAGAAAATATATTTATAATCCAAATAATTTAAAATGATTCAAATTATATAAACCTTTGGATCAGCTCCAGACTGCACTAACCTTAAGTTGCCAGTTGTTGTCCGAAGCAAAAAAGCAACACTCTCACTTTTGTCAGATTTTATACCCTCAAAACCGTCACTTTGGTATCATCGGTATCATCAAACATGTTCAGAGTGTGCAAGATGAAATACTCATTAAGCTCGTTTTTTTTTCTTGAGTGTTTGAAACTCCAAAGAGAGGAATGAAGAGATGGTAATGTGAATCGTGAGAAGTCAGAAACTCAACCTAGCTGACCAAACCAGGTCTGAAACCAGGTCTCCTGAGTCAACGACCTCTTTTAAGTCCCTTATTAAAACGTTCTTTGTAATTAGAGAGCCATGACTGATTTTACCTGAAATTAAAATTTTTAATCCCTCTTGAAGGATTTTATCTTTGAAAGATATCTGGGATGAATTTGATGTTTTAATGTGTGTTTTATTTCTTGTCCGTCCTTTCTTATGATTTAAGGATCTGTCTGCTTTATTTTGCTACATTTGTAACTTAGATTGTAAAAGTTCCCATTTATAATAAAATAATAATAATTATTGTTATTAATATTATTCATTATATCATTGATACTACAACTACTATTAATAATAATAATATTAAGGTTTATACCAATTATAATGATAATTATTAAAATTATTATGATTATTTGGACATGATACATGAACAACATTAAATATTACATACATATTATCCTGTTAAGCCTTACAGTGCTCTGTTTTGCTTCACAACTCTTGAGATGTTTTTACGTTGGAGGTGGTTTCCTGAACTTTTTAAGCTGTATAACCTAAAAGCTGATAAATGGGGAATTTCATCGTTGAGTCTGCAGAGCAGCATTGTGAGTAATTTTTACTGATCCTCCCTGAATGTTTCCTCATATTTACTCAAATGTTCCCTTAGAAAAGGAAATGATTTCTCTCTAACGTGAAAAACAGATCACTGTAGAAAGAGCTTTTTCTGTGGTTATTTAATTAATTCTGCGTATACTAGGCCAACACTGTCTTTTATGTTTTCACAGATTTACTTTGCACATTTTTTACAGAGTAAAAAAGTAATTGTTTTAACAGTTTTTCATCTTTTGAGAAAATCTCACTGTAACAATCCTTATTTATACATACATTACATTGTTGTTTTATTTGTTTCACATTTGTCTGAGTTCTAAATTGAATTTATCCTTTTTAAAATTAACAAGATGAAAAATTGCTTTTGTTAATCAGGTCCACGTTGAAAAACATGCCCAAGAAATCATAAAAACCCCGGACTGAGGACATCATTTTGTTTGCTATTCTTATTTAATGACTTTTTTAAAACCTATAAATTAGAAATCTTTGTTCAAAATGTAAAGTGAAAGAAAACTGATAAATGAAGAGCTAACATTTAAAGGAATAATAACCCTTGTAATTAAATAAGTATTTATGTAGTTTTGGATTTCAATCAAAGTAAATGTTGAATACAGGTATGTTCAAAAAAAGGCCAAATTTCTCTCATGTTCACTCCTAAAATGTTCTTAAAACTTTAACTCTGTATCTATTCTGTTTTTAGCTTTTATTGATGAATATCCGGGCTCGCGTTGGCCTCTAACTGATCGTTGCCGTGACTCACCAAAAGTTTTCTGTGTGACTTATCATTCGTGTTGTTTCATGTCTGACCACTTGGCTCTTCTCTCAGGTTGTATGTGTCATCGAGTGTCGTTCCAGAACATTCACATGGTAACCTCAGCAGATTCACGTCCACGACAGCTCCCAAACTTAACTTTTCTCACTCAACTACTCGTGAAGGGCGCCACGGCATTTCAACTACAACCCATGCAATTTGTGTTAGTATGTGTATGTAGATCTATGGAACACATTCACTTACAAGGCCTTCTCCTGTCAGTCCACCTCCTCCTTCCTCCTCTTCTTTCAGTTTCTTTTCTCTCCTTCTCCTCCATCCTTCTTAACTGTCGCTCCCCTGGTATTTCAGCACACACTTGATCCCTTTCTGTACGATAGAGATCAATCGAACATTGTGAAGTGTCTGTTCATTATTGATTCCTCTTGACTTTACTAATCTCTTTCATTCTTAATTCATCACTCACCTCAGTTCAGTGTGGCACAGAACACAACCAAAATAAGCCGATAGTCAGAAAATACCAACTCTTGGTCTCGGCAGAGCATTCAACCTCCTGAATACAAAAAAAAAAAAACACTGGGACTCACTTCACATAGATGGTTAGATATGTGGTTGATTGCAGAGTACATTTTCTTGGCATGCTCTTCGGTGTATTAGGTTGAAGTTTTGGCCGTAGTTTATGTTTGGCGAGCTAAAATAGCCGCTTTACAGTTAGAATTGTTGAGGGGATCCCTCAGGGTACGCATGTTGGCCCGGCGCTGTTTCTCCTCAGGAATAGCATCTGTTTTGTCCTGAAGTATCATCCTGCTGATTACATATCTAAGCAGCATGCTGATCAAAATAGCTTGAGTCTACAGCCTTCTGACGCACACACACAGACAAACGAGACCCGGTTGGTCACTCTCACTCGCCTTGCAAGTGGCACACAGACACAGACACACACACAGCATTAGTCAAACGGCTTGTGCAACCCTGGTGATAAATCTGTTGGTCGCCTTTAAAAAAGGAAAGAATCAAATCTTCCAGCCGGTTTGGGTGCTGTTTGAATGTGTGCGCGTGAGACTAAGAATATACTTGCTTCTTTATCTATTTGCATAGCTCTATGGAGTGTATGTAAGAGAGCACTGTTTGTATTTGCATGAAATAAGTGTGAAAGTGTGTGCGACGGTACTTTCCACAGCTCTTCTGGTTTGAGTCCACGAAAAATCCAGACTTATGCAGACTAATTTGTTTACCGCACCTGGTTTGTCCTTTTTGTTTGTAGGCTAGTTGACACTGCTTCATATGCAAGCATGTGAATTCTTGTATTGTTGTGTGCGCACAACACCGGAGGCTGAGGGATGTTCATAGGGGTCGGTTGGTTGCTGGTAGAAGTCCCCCGCGTGAGCCAGAGAAGCAGAGCGAGACAGCATCCTATTCTCACATCAGTGTGTGTGTGTGTGTGTGTGTGTGTGTGTGTGTGTGTGTGTGTGTGTGTGTGTGTGTGTGTGTGTGTGTGTGTATATGCCGAAATGCAGCCATACATTTGTGTGGATGTGTGTGTTTGTGAATATGCACGCCTCAGACAGAAACAGAACGACAGATTGTTTGAAGTCTGCCACTGAGACTAGCATCAAACACCACCTCAACTCTTTGCCCTTCAGCCTGTACACACACACACACACGCACACACACACATCTCAGGCTCATGCTTCCTTGTCTCTCCTGATCTCTTCCTCATATTATTCCAAAAAAAAAAAAGTGAACCTATTAAAAAACTTCTAACTCTCCACCTGCATTTAATTTCATTGTCACCTCTTATTTTATTTTTTTGTCCATCTGTCAGACAAACTAGACTCCATAGACACAAACAAAGGCAGTCTTTTCAGGCAAATATCGTTTCGTAATCTAAATTGGTCGTTACTGGTTGAGGTTAGAGTTTGACACGGCTGGGAAATTACGTGAACCGAAAGTTTGAGTGGAGAGGACTTCCTTTAAGTGAAGATTTTAATATCTCAAACACACACACACACTTTATCTCTTTTTTTAATAATTGTTGACTAAAACAGCACAAGGTCATAAAAACCAAGTGAAAACAGATGTAGTGTATGTTTAGGTATTTGCTAATGTCGGTGAAGGTGTGTCAGTGAAGATAAAACTGGTAGGCTTTGGTGCATATGACCTAGATTACTTGAAACCACAGATGTCTAATAGGAAGTTGATGGTTAAAAAAAATGTCTTTGGTTGAAATGTGATGGGGAAATTCCTTTGTGAGTCACACACAGTGAGTTAGTGCTGGTTTGTTCTGAATCTGGGTTGGCGGATGGTTTGGTGACATCCGCTGCCCTATGGTCTCTCCCTCACTCTGTCTGGGGTTGGACAAGAGGGTGGGACGGAGTGGGTGTGAGGAGACAGGTTTTCACTCCTGCCCTTTACAGAAAGATAGAATCTGGGTGATGACACTGAGTCATACATGCTTTCTAAGCTCTCCTCTTTCTTATTAGTATTCTCAATCATGGCCTCTCTACTTTCTACACCCTATCCTGTCAGCCCTGCACACACTGAACAGCGTGCTGTAGGTCTACACAGTCCCCTGCAGGCTTTTTTTTCTAAATCTGGGTCAGGACCCAGTTGAGAGTTAAGGAAAGAATAAATGTGCCTCAAATATTCAGGGAACATTAGCGTGTAAAACTATTGCCTTTGCTTGTTAAAGGAGACCTAAAACCTTCTCGAAGCCCTGCTATGAAAGGATGAAATACGCTGTAGCCTGTAGACACGACTTTTTTCATGCAAACAGAGCGAGTTGCATCACTTGTACAGTTCGATACTCCAAATGATGCAACTCACGCTGCAGATAAGCAAACACAATAGTTTGAAAAATATATTGGAAATATGCACTCAACCACACAAACGCGCTTACTTCCACAGACATTGTTACTCCACTAGCACTGTGTGTATAGATCTGACCTCCAGCTGTACTACCTGTAGACCTCTTTCACAACATGCTGTTATTCATGCAGCTCACTGAAAATATAGAAACTCTTTTGACTGAAACGCGTGGCATGACTCTTGAGATGACAGTGTCAGTCTGTCTACATGCAGCTCAGTCCAAGCAAAAGCTTATCAACAACTGTAACATGGATAGCTTTTAAATTTTGAATCGGTGCTGAGACAATGATTCCATGGGAGGACAACGATTATCTGACTTTTCTCCTGGCAGTAGGGGAGACCGGGGCTTGTTGTCACATGGGTAAGTTGTCACACTGCACCCAGAGGCACAAAGAAAAAGTAGAATACTAGTTTTCTGTCTGAGAAGAGAAGATTGTGAACTGAGATGAGCGCCAACTAACCATTTTGAACAACCCAAAGTGAAAATAAAAATTAACTTTATATATTTTAAAATAAGCTTCCAGATAAAAATCCTTGCAGTGATACATGTGGACTTGTTAGAGGAGAGATTAAGGCATCTTGTCATACCTCAGTCATTGTTCTGTTTTAAGCTAACTTTAAGTTAGAGCTAGGATTGGCAAATGTTTGGGGCAACATGTCTCAGTCATTTTGGGGTTAGTTGTCACATATTAAAAGGGTTTATTTTTACAGAGAAAAGAGTGGTTTAAAGGAGAGGAGAGAGCGAGAAGACATGGTCAGGATTCACAAAAGACAAATCATAATGTGGCAGTGCAGTACCTGACGTGATGCTGAGGACAGTCAGACAATTAAGGACTTTAATGTCAACTACCATACTTAAGCTCGGTACTGCAAAACATTCACCCCAGCCAAAATACAGAGTCAGACAGCTCTCCAAACTTGTTTTATTAGTTGCAAAATCCACTGTGACATCGAACCCCATATAGTGAGGCAACTTACCCGATGGAGGGGCAATATGTCACATGTTCACACTCTCTGTTTAGTTGCTTATAACTCTGCACTGACACGAGATATGAAAATGACATGAATATGAAATATATACCTGAGACTTTGGTCTTTCATCTAGTTCACATTTTGTTTATATATGATGTATTATAAATGATGATTCCAAGAAATATATGAGTGTAAAAAGTGTGACAACAAGCCCCATTCTCCCCTAACACAAGGTTCATGTTTTAGGTTTTTAAGGAAAACATCTCGACAACAATTGAATGGATAAATAAGAAATCTGATACAAATGAATAACGTCAAACTTGGTAATCCCCTGACTTTTCCATCCAGCGTTTGCCTGGGATGGCCTCACAGATTCGCAAATTCAGCTTTCCAGTGGATTTTTTTCACCGATCCTCAACTTCTTTAATTCTTAAGTTTGAAAACAAAAAATCAAAGCGGGGAAAATGTTTGTTTGCAGACACACAAGGCGGAGATGATGAAAGTGAAAACATACGAAACAAGAGTGCTGCGGTGTGAAAATGTCAGGACACAGCTCCTCCATCTGTTTCAAGCATTGCTCCGGACTTTCAAACTTATTTGATACAAAAACTTGTTGGAACATCTGGCCTCTATTACATCAGAATACACTCTTGGCAGATACCTACGTTTCAATTCCAACTAAACACTGAAGCCAACATTTCCTTGAATAAGTTTTCCTTAGATTAAATATTTCATTCAAAGCTAAAAACAGCCGAGGTCTGTCACTCCAGGCAAGAAAACACTGAGGTAAAATCTACCGCTACGCCACGCATGTCAATGACTTAATAGCGTGGATCATGACTGTAAGGCTGTGCATACTGAGGCTCAGCCAATGTAAATATAGTTTGGCTGTGTCGCCACAGTTTATCTAGCTGAGTGAAATACCTGAAATAACTCTGAGTCACAGCTGTAATACTCATACATCTGAAAGGATTCGATTTGCAGCATGTTTTAGATGAGAAAATACAAATCTGCTGACTGACTTTATAGCTACAAATACACAGAAAACGCAAAAGTGATGTATAAAAATGCACAATATGAGTCGGTGTAAGAGAGGAGTTGTATACAGGCCAGCATTTCACGGCTATTTTATGGTATGTAGGTTCTGTAGACATGCACAGACAGTCACCCTATTTGAATGAGTGTCAGCGGTGGAAGCTGTGAGAGTGTCTGAATAATTTCTAAATATCTCACAGGTAGACTATTTCCTTAAGGGGTCACTCACTCCCGCCCCCCCTGGCCTTCATCCTCGCAATATGAAAGTAAATGTGTTGAATAATCTACCGGCTTTTCGAGCGGGAACATGACCCCCCATGTCCAATCATGCACAGAGGGAGGCTTTTCCAGGCAATTTAGCACAACTGATCTCAAACTAAAGGCATTTCTTCAAGAGACCCCTGACTTTTTCTAACAGTTCAGTCCTAAACTAAAAAAAATAATCGATGTTTGGAGAACAGTTTTACCAACTTACATCTCTAAATATTCCTTGATAGCTCATAAAAATTCAAATAGAGATTATCTGACCGTGGAAAAGTAGAAGTTGAAGGGGATTATGAGATTTAATGGCCATAGAACTGACAATTAACCGTCTCTTTGTGAAACTAATATCACAGTCTACATGGCGCGCACACACACCAGAGTGTGACTCAAACTCTGTGACCTGCAGCCAGATTCCTGCTAAGTTGACTGCTGGTGTGAATACTGGCACCATGCCTAGAGAAAACATGTTTTATTCCGCTTTCATGACCAACAAGTTCAGATTACAGAGCGAAGATCTTTAAAATCCCTGTTGAAGGAGGAGATCAGTTTGGCAGGTGTAATTGTCAACTAAAGATAAATACAGAATGTATTTCGCTCCTAAATACTCTTAATAAGATCTGTTCTGTTCTTTCATTTAGGCTGTAAAGAATGGAGAAATATATGCATACATACAGGTATTGTATTTTACTTTATCATTTTTATTATAATCATGCATATCTTACACTGATTATTTATGGATTTGTCTGAATCAGCTCTAAAGTTAAGATGCTGCTCGTCAATATGATAATTCAGTAACACTTTAATCGACACTTTTCTCTATAACCCATTAGTATGTATAATGCATTATAATCATGTTATAGCACTGTATCACTATAGTTATAAACACTCATAAATGATCATCATGCTTTATAGCAATAATCATAACACATTATAAAGCATTTTATCATGACTTACAAGGTCAGGTATTATAATGTGTTATAACTGTTAACAACTATAACAGTTGCATTGCATTATCTATAGGGGCATTGTTAGTGATTTGTCAATAGTTGTAACACATTATAATATCTGACTTTGTAAGTCATGATAAAAAGCTTTATAATGTGTTATGATTATTGCTATAAAGCATGGTGATCATTTATGAGTGTTTATAACTATAGTTATACAGTGCTATAACGTGATTATAATGCATAATACATATATTTATAATGTGTTACAGAGAAAGGGGTCACATAAAGTGTTACCAATCATTTAGTGCCATGATTAAAATAACAATAAAGGGGGAACAGTTTAGATCAGTTATCAGATCAGGCTACAGTCCTAATCACGCCGGTCTTGGGATCATCTCATGGTCCCGGGATTATTCAGTGCACATCATCCCCCCTTCTCTCTCCCCACATTTCCTGTCTCTCTAAAGCAGACAAACACAAAAAAAACTCCAAAACAATCTAATCTAGAAATCAGACATTTTGTAT